TTGCTCCTCTTGTGGTAAAATATGAAATGCCACAGGCCAAACGTGACAAACACAGACTCTGCTCGGTTTGTTAAGATATATTTGGATCAGATGGTGTTATTAGCCTCCTTTGTACAATTTCTTCCTCTTTTCAAAACAGATTAATTTTTGTACCACCAACATGGCATTTTACACAGAGGTGAAGAATAATATTTCAGCACAGGAAAAAACAGGAATTAGTGACAAAACAGGTTCCTTGCATCCTGCTGTCTTTCCTAAATGGAGCAGAACCAATACCTCTAGAGTAGACTAGGACATTGCAATACTGACTCAGCATCTCTGGAAACTCCTACATTTCCTCCACTCAGGATGATGGCTTTGCAGGACAAAAACGTAGGCATCAAATCACTATCCGTGTGTTTTCAGTGTTTCTCTTTTACTAATTCTTTTCATTACCTGTTTCAGCACTTATGTTTGAGTGATCTGTTTTCCAGCCTGTCCTCAGTTATCAGCCTGGGTGTTCCTTGAGAAGTTATTTATAGCTCTACATGCAACTCAGACAATCCTATGTGACAGTATACACATTCTTTTGTCTCTCAGGGAGCAGTGATTAAATAACCAGGGCAATATTGACATTCATCCAACGAAATGGAGCTAACTTGGGTAGTGTCCTATCAAGAATTTATTTGACCCAATTAACTTGTGATTATCCAGATGTATATCCAGAGGACGTTCGCTGTATCCACAAGTACAAAAAACATTTGCTAACAAATGAAAAATGTTAAGCAGAGATCGGAGGTCTGTTTTAGCTACCTATAGAAAATACTGATTAAAACAGAAAACAGACTTGGATGTTTTGATTGAAAAATCTTTACAATAAATTGTCCATGTTAGTTTCAGAATGCTCCTGAAAACTTACACCTAAAGGCTGGATTTGTGGAAGGGCTAACTTTTTCTAATTCTCATCAACTGCTCAACTCTGCTGGAAGGTTAAGCTCTTGGTGATTTATCAGTATTTTTTGAGCAGAGGAAAAAAGTCCTTCCAAACCCACGACCATTCTGCACTGTATTCACTGCTGCTCCTGCAAATACCCAGCTAAACAAAATAATTCTTTATTGAGTCCTACGTTCCACCAGCATAGAGTTCTGTTGGATCAAGAGAGGAACATCATGGAAGACAATTCTCCAATCTCTGAAGCAACACAATAAAATTTTAACCAAAATGTCCTATTACAGTGATTCTGTAGAGTTGCTATCACGTTAGCACAAACAGCAGTTGCATTGCACTGCAACTCATTTCATGACACTGCAAACTAATCATGTGCCATAATTGGGACAGCCATAATTGCTATACTGTAACTCAGCTGTTAAAGGAGGCCCCAACATTACCCTGGAGTTTGCAGAGCTAAGAAATGAGTGAGTGCAGTTCAGAACACTGAGAAGTTAAGAGAGTCATTTATCAGAGCAGTTGGCATTTACAGAAAACAGCTTGCAAGCCAGTTGCCCCGGGTTTAATGCCAAGAAGTCTCCTAACGGGTAGTGAAATAGTTGTTATAAGCAAATGAAATTAGGAAATTTGTAACATTACACTTTCTACCCTATATCTAAACTGAAAGGTGTTAAAATATACTTGTGCAAGTGGGAGCTTCTACGTTTTGTTGAGTTAATGTTTGCTCGGGGAAAAAACATGCGTCACGATTTCTACAAGTCTGTTCTGAAGAGTGGTAAATGCACGGATATTCCAGGAAGAGCTGGATCACAAAAATCTCTTCTTTCTAAAGCACTGTGATCAGTGGATCCCAAAGAAAGCATCTGTTCCAAGTCAGAGAATGGGTAAAAGGTTGCGAGGAACCTGATTTGCAATCATGCAACAAAAAAGGATGTCTAGGCTTTATGAGTAAGTTCCTCTTCTTAACAATTTAAAAAGATGTCCTGGGTAGCATAATGGTATTTGGAACAGATCTTAAAGCAGGATGACTTATTAAGGCTTCTGCAATGAAAAAACACAATCAAGTAGCATCCCACATAGCTCAAGTTCCAGCTTTATCTCCTGTGTTTACCAAGAATCTCTATGTCAAACTACACACGATAAAAAAAAACGTACAGCTAAACATCATGTGTTAAATAAACATTTGCATCCTGATAATTTGCATGCCAAAATAAAAGGAGGAATCTGATTTAGAGTCCAAATTATATTAAATCTTCAAATACTTACACCAATATTTAAAATAAGCTTCTACGTATGATGCAAACTTCTTGAACAGAAATCCTTTATTTACTTGTGCACAACAGTATGAGCACATTGATGCTTATAACCATTAACCTGAAGTATGACTGGTTGATCGGGGGGGTTGATAATTTAACTAAATGTGTACAGAATGAATTTGACCACATTCTATGATCATTACAATTCCTGACTTTACTGCTACATAAGCAGTTGCCAAAGAACAACTAGAGCATTTTCAAGGTGATCAAAAGAGAAAGGGAAATAGAGAATACTCTTCTTCAGCAATTTTATTTTATTTATTTTTTACATTCAAAGGATATTTGCAAATTCCCAAACAATCACAGAACTGGTGAAATTATGGGACCAGCAAATACCATACTAATAATGAATCACGTCCATTATCATATTAGCTGCAATTGCTGGTTTAGTAGATTTAATTTAAATTATTTCTTTTCATCTAAACACATGCAAGACCCTATTTTATGTAGTTTCCTGCAATAGCTAATCAGTTTAGCTTTTTCTGTTTTTCAGTAAATGGTCAGCCACATTCTAGATTTCCAACTTTGCTGACGACAAAATGCCATGAGGGATTAACCTTTAGGTGCCACGGAATACAGAGTAAAAGCAAGTGCAGAAGCATTTATAAAAACCCAGCTGATGTAGTGTGATCATTTCACCAACAGTATGTTCAGCTGAATCTGATTTTCTAAGAGATCTACAGAGCAGGACCAAGCTCATGCTTTGATTAGAAAGATCAGTTGATGGAAGCTGATCTCCTCTGGAAGACTCTAAGTCTGTTCTGAGTATCTGGAGCCCCTGCCATGCATTCCTGTTGAAGGCCCAATAAATGAGTTTGAGTGAACCACTGACAGTGTCAGACATGGAGCACTGCGGTCCCAGATAATCACTTTTAGGACAGAAGGCCTAAACCTGCTTTAAGAAAGATGACTGCTAAACCTTGCAGTCACAAGTCACTAGGGTGGTACTAAAAACATTTTTTCAGCAGCTACATAAAATCTTCTCTTTTCTATTAAATTCAGCTTTTACTGAATATTTTAACCTGATATAATTCAGCTACATCAGGTGTCAGCAAAACTTTCTGCTTCACTTATTAGGGAACTCGTTCATTTCTACAGCGAAGCAGCATGCCACGCTCTGGATTCTCTGCTGACAGAAGGTCCCCGCAACCCCAAGGAACGCAGGGAACAGGTAAGCTAAAGTTTTTGCAAGTGTGCATTGTCTTAAGTAAGAATTTAACAAGGCAAGTAAAACCAGGAATTCGGGAAGCAGGACATGCTGCTCAACAGCTTAAAGCACAGAAATGCAGTCAGGTCAGGGAAGGAGGGAAATTTCTGAATATGTCTCATGTCACCAGTTTATCATATGGAAAAGAAACAACTTTTTTTTAAAAAAAAAAAGAAGACAAAGAGGAGGAAGAGGAGGAGGAAGAGGAGGAGGAGGAAGAAGAAGAAGAAGGAGGAGGAGGAGAAGGAGGAGAAGGAGGAGAAGAAGGAGAAGAAGGAGAAGAAGCAGAAGGAGGAGAAGAAGGAGAAGAAGAAGGAGAAGAAGGAGAAGAAGGAGAAGAAGGAGAAGAAGAAGGAGAAGGAGAAGGAGAAGGAGAAGGAGAAGGAGAAGAAGAAACAAAGTATCCAGCCCCAAGTCTGCCACCAACATGGACGGTTTTGGGCACATTTCGCAGTACTTTACAGTCGTGCCTACACAAGGGAAGGCTTGCCAGGAGAGAAGCGCCCTTCCCAAACTTTTGCAGACCTCACTTCCAAGTGATGGTGAAAGGGACTCATCAGGGCCTGTATCTCTTACAGCTGTTCTGCAAAGCAGAACACAGGCAGCACCACTATGAAATCATTTCTCTGTAGGCACATGCCTGAACACTAGTGTATATGTTATATCCCAACCAACGTATCTTAAGTTCATGTCTCCTTTTATCCTGCCAGAGTGGCCACAAAGCCAACACTTGCTAATTAAACTCCTCCTGTGATTTTCTGAATCAACAATAGGATCAATACCATCCCCTATTTCAGATCATACTTCTAGCATTCTAAGAAGTGCTTTCACAGTAATAAGTCTTTTTTTCAATCCATAATATACAATGCAATGAATACCATTCGTTGTGCAGATCTGAGCCTCTGGCTGAGCTTGAGGACCCACTGGGAAGACCTAGATGCCGCACCGTTTTCCAGGCTCTCCCAAACTCCCAGCTGAGGATGCCTGCAGTACAACAGCCTGCCTCAAAAGGAAAGCTGCAATAACTCTTTTTCATGTGTATTACACATATCCACTGCTGCATATGCCAAATCTGTTCAGCCTCTCGGTTAGTTACAGGCTGAGGAACCAGACGCACAGGGTAAGTCACGATGCATTAGACCTACTTAAAATGCCACTACTGCAGCCGATCTTTATGGGTCCAATAAATTCAAGTTAACTGAATTTACTGTGCACATACTGATCATTTTCACAGATCAAACACTTGCACGTATGTGATGGACATTTTTCTGCAATTTCCAGCTATCCAGCAGCCGGTGGAGTGACTGCTATATGTAGCTGTGACCTCAGTCAGGTTGCTGGACATACCAAAATCTTGGCCAAATTCTTCATTTTCCATTCGAGCAATATCTCTGGATTTTTTTTTAAAAAAAAGGTTGTACCGAGTGAAATATGGGTATAGGGCAGCCGTCAGGCAATAAAAGAATGGAATTTAAAACATTGTTTTTCATTCAAAACTTGTATATCATTTTGAGCATCAATAATAATTTTGCTGCAAGCAAAGCTTGCTAACGATGTTTGCACAACAGGAAAGGAAGGGTTTACCAAGTTGCTAGTAGCTGGCAAGCCCTGCATTGATGGAGAAAACCTTATTCAGCTTTTCCTACCACTGAGATTTTGCTTTGCATTAAGAACAAAATGTCACAGCTTCCAAATGTAAGATGACAACCTAGAGCATTTTACTGCAAAGACAAAGCCAGCCTTTGAAAATAATTATAGAACAAACAAATAAAAAAAAAGACAGAAGCAAATACAAAAAGACACTTAAAATATTCTTATGCTTAATAAAAAGATCTCACATTTCATGTCAGAAGTAAGAACCTTCTGTTTCTACTGAAACCAATGACACCACTGCTATCACCATCAATGGAATTAGAGCTCTTTGTTTTAAAATGCCAGTAGGCATCCAGCTGGTTTGTTGAAGGCTGCAATGCTCTTCCCTTCTATGAACACAGCCATAGCCAATCTCTGATACAAATCCAAGTTTCCTGATACCCTTTCATAATAACGGGTCACCCAAAGAGCTGGTATTCATCGCACTGATACTAATTAGAGCACAATGATTTCCCAAGTAAAAAAACTCCCAGTTCTCTGGATAAAATTCTAAAAATAAGACATGTTCCTCATTACAACTTTGACCTTTTTCATTTACGCTTTTTCTTGCCTCCCATAACGATTACTGTTTGACCGGAGGAATTACTTTTCCACTATGCTATCAAGCTTTCTAAGATAATTTAAGTTTTCAACTTCATTTTTAAGGGTATCAAAAAGCAACCTCAGGTTCATGCCATCACTCACTTTGTGGAAAATACTCATTTTCCAGCATCTCACCATCAAAGGAAAACTAAAAAACATCACTTATTTTCTGTGAACTTAAGGTGAAAGAAACACACAAGAACTTGCAAAAACCTTCTGAAAATGCCACATGGGTTTCGTTCGCTTCTTCTCTTTTTGGCAGGATGTAGGCCAAACTACTTAACCTAGATTTGGATCTGACCTCGCTCATGCTTGGTAAGCTGGACTAAAACAGAACTGTTATGCTCCCATGCACACTTCACAACTGGGTCTGTAAAGCCTCAGCCAGGTCCTTACCAATAGCTAAGTCTGACCTTAAAGCTGCCTTAAACTCAAACCCATTCACCATCTACACTGCAAGGTCTTAAATCCAGTTCCACCTTGAACGACCTGAGAGCTTTTCAGCTTTAGCGATCAGAACCAGACGTGGTTCCCACTTGCTCAGAATCTGCTCACACTGCAGAGACTGAGGTTTGGGGAACCCACCATTGGTGCCTTGCAGTGATCGCTCTCTTTCTAGATTCCAGCTCTTCCACACGCATGTGCTACTGACAGGAGAGACAAAACTGCCCCTGGTTTACATGTTGGAGAGGGCAGGCTGCATGTTGTGATAAACGTGAGTTAACAATAGATTTTGCAGCTCAAAGTGGTAGAAGACAATTCTCCAGGATCTTTCTAAATATTCCACGGACATAGTTCTGTAATAGACACCTTTAACACGCACTAAATAACCTTCTCTTCCTTCAACAAGCTCTTCCGTGAACTTGCTTCCTTCGGGCTGCCTTGCACTATTGGCCTCTGTGCAATCACTGTTTTCTTGTATTTCTCACCTTCTCTCTCCTTGCTTCCAAACAGAAAAATATAAGGAACAGCAAACAAAACACAGATGTACAAAACCTAGGCTCTGTGAAAAGGTATCTTCCTAGAAAAGGCTTCTTGCTGCTTCTCCTTCACCATCACATCTGTCATCATCTACCTCATCTGCTTGGTTCACTGCAAGGTTGTCAGAAATGGCACTAATAAGATTATGCTCTAATTACCAGGACCACACTCATAAAGCATAATGTTTCAGATGCTAATCACTTTCTTTGGGAAAAACACCATTTACCAGCTGAGGGTGGGCTAGTTGGTTGGTTGGTTTTCTCTTTCAAAAAAGCAAGATCAAATATTACAGTTATAGAAAATGCCTATTTTACTGCAAGTTCTTATTTAAGAATCATTTCCAAATGCAATTGTATCCTGAAAACAATGCAAGCCTCGATTTACCTTTCTAGATCAAGATATTCAAAGGAATATTATTTAAAGAGTGAAAAAAAAAATTACTGTTCAGCTTTCCCAGATCATGTGTCCAGAACACACGATAAGGACAATTTGGGGGTACTTGTTTGCTTAAAAGGCAACGAGCTAATCCAATTACCAAGCACTGCCAGATTCTTGAAGTACCTTGCAATGCATCAAGCTGGATGAATGCAGTGACTCCTTTTTCTTGAAACATGAATTGGGAACAACACTTGAAAATGTTTGTCTTCTTCATTTTGACAATCTTCAGAAACCCCAAATACGATTCTGACATTTTTAAAGTGTTGACAAGAAGAGAAAACAAATCTCCCCACCCCTGGGGGAAAAAAACAAAAACAAAAACAAAAACAACACAAAACACAAAGAAAGATGGAGACTGGATAAAAAGAACAGTCAAACTAGAATAACTAGTTTCTCACATTAGTCAGCATGAGTGATGCTACATATAAATCTCCTGATATTCTTCAAGGCTATTAAATCTGGTTTTGTTCGAACACGGGAAAATAAAAGAATATTAGTTGTTACAAAAACTGCAAAAAATTGAGTCAAAATTGACAATTCATTAGCAAAGCCATCTGTGAATCCATAGTCTATGGCTATTGATTTAGCTTCTGAGTGACACTTCATAGCTAAATCAAAAATAACTTTGTGTTTCTTTATTCTTTTTGGTATGTAATCTAGAAAACAGATCAGCTCTCAGGCTTAAAGGAAAATACCTTGTGAGGAGAGAAGCTATGGAGAGAAGAAAGTGGATACTTAGGATTTGAAGAGTGGATCATAAAATCATGCAGTCATTGACCAAAATGCATTTCCAGAGGTTTTTACACTAGCACCCATCTGGTTTACATTCAAATGCCATGACTATGCATATACATCACACAGAGACCAACGCTGATAACCAACTGAAAAGGTACAGTGCCACCATGATAAGCAGATGGTACGACATGGAAGGAGTTCCTATGGCTAAAATCATGACAGGAGCACAGCTGAGTAAGCACGAGAGCTACTACAAAAGGCTGATTTTTGAATGCAGCAGTTCCATAACGACAATACTGACAGCTTTTGTAAATGGCATGCCCTGCCGTTCTGATTACAGCGTGTGCTCTACCAAGGTATCCATGGAAACCTGAGAAAGAGATGTTAAATTTGTTGGATCTGCTTGGCGCCAGGGAATGGGACTAGTTTCCAGTCAGCCTAGTATAACCACAGGTATTTTGATCTTTAAGCATGGAGAAAGCATCAAGAGTCCTCAAATGATGACGGAATCCACAAGATCAAATTGTCACAGGAACGCATTTCCCAAGCAATGACTAGGAGGCGGCAAGGATGTACTAAAGAAACTGTGATTTTAATGGTGTTGTTATCTCTCAACAGAAAAATAGCCCAACTGGTGTAACGAGGAGAGAGACAACCAAAATACTCACTCTTTAGACCTCGCAGGGAACAGGAAAAAAGAAAGTGTGAATACAAACATACAGAGCCTCACGAGGAAAGGCTGTGCAGGACAGGCGGACACGGAGCACTCGGGACTGTAAAACCCTTTGAGAGAAACTGCTTCAACCCTAGAGACTGGTCCTGAACAGCACTAGGATCATAAGATGTATCCAGAAACGGACAAATCGAAGCAGTGTTCCCAGATTATTCCCTATGGGAGAAGAAACTAGCATAAGGAGAATAATTTATCTCTGCCTCCTTCCCCAAGGAAACCGGTGCAGGTTGGGTAGGCTCCTGCAATACAGTTTTTCTTCAGAGAGAGGAAGTGAATAAACTCCCTCGGCTGACATGGAATTGCTATTGTGAAACTCCATTCACATACACACTTCTTCTGGACTCCAACTGACAGCAATTACTGGAAACCTCTCTCAATATTCCTCGGAAACTGCACAGTCTGAGCGCCTTGACTCAGGCACTGAGGAACTACTGACAGAAGAAGCAGCTGTAAGAAAAACCCTCTCCAGGTCTCCCGTTCTTGTAAATGAAGGCGCCTTTAGGACTGATCCGTGTGCCCAGCGCCCTGCAAATCAGTCACGACAGAGCTACTGACCTGGGCCAGCGAGCGCCGAACAGCTCTGCCGCACGACCCGACCACAGCAGCGTGCCGATGACGGGGCACATCAACGCCGTCCACAAAGCCGCTCTCTAACGCCCTTGACACACCCCGATGCAGCCCTGAGCAAGGACACACAGCCAGGACCTCAGGAAAGAACAAAGGCTTTCTAGCCTGGCCTCCGTATCTGAGCATTTTAGTTTATTTATTTGCTTACTTTGTTAGAACTGACTGCATTTTCCTTTTCATTTACATGAAAACCTTTCTCGAATCCCTCTGGGACAGACTTTGAAGGAATTTCCTGTTTCTATACCGATTACTTACACAGTTCACAGCTGCCATCCTAATTTTCGAACACTGCAAAATCACTGCTTTAACAGCAGTTACGGCAAAATTCAAAACTTGCATTTGTTTGTTTTAAATGCATATCACTACGTTTCTTAACAGCACAGCACATGGGCCATAGCTGACATATTTTGAGTAATGAGAGCTAAGGAATGTCCTTTTTAAGGCCAAAAAATGTGCCTGGTCACTGAGAAGAGGCAGTTTCAATTTAATGAGCCAGGACACTTGTCACAGTGAAGAAGACGAAGCTTGCAGGTATGTCAGAGGAATTTCAGACCACAGAAGTTCATACTTGGCAGCAGCATTCCCTCAGTGCAACACCAACATCTGCGACCTTACATCACCAAACAGCT